AGTCAATAGAGCCTTGTATTGATCCAATACTGCCCCTTGCTGTATCTACTCAGTACTGAACCATAGTTTAATAATATTTGATCTCAATAGTTCAATAGTTACAATACTAATATGATTGTATTTTGGTGTTTTACTATAATGTCTTAACACTGCTCTGTTGTTGTAATATTATGCAGTTTAGTGTCAATAATTGTATTGGCAATGTGRCCTCTTTCTGCACACTTACAAACCAACCCCTGGCAATCCCCTCTGCCACAGCTCCAATGGTCTAATGCTCAATGCCATRGACTTTCATGTGGGAGAACAGGGTTCAAAACCCAGCTAAAGCAACTCTAATAGAAAATCTCTACAAATTTCATATTGTCACACAATTATCCTCATTACAAACACCTGCTGACTTGACAAGCACAAGCTGGTATAAAAAACACATTTGAACTTGGTCACAGCTCATTCTGCAAGTGCACTGCTGCAGGCAAAGCCATGCTACATGGCAATGCACACTTGTTTTTACATCGTAAAAACCCATGTCTAGTTGTTCATTTACATTGCAACATTCCTTAAAGGAATGCGTATTATTGCCTGCTGCCTTTCATGTCAAAATTTGAAACTAAGATTTTCTTATGCTGAGAAGGAACATAGTTATACCAGTTTTGATCAAACTGGTTGAGTGATGTTATGTGCAGTCTCTTGTAACATTTCAAAATCTCACCAGAAGGTATGTGTTGAGTATGACTCTCCATGAGTAACACATAAAACRTAAGCCCACTATTTGTAAATATGATTCATTCTAGTGTTAACTAAGATTGATTAGTTATAGTGGAGATCTGGAACTGGATTGACTCCAAAGGTTAGTCAGTTGTAAATGTGCATCCAATGGTTACAGTCAGAGGGGTTTTTTTTCCATATCTTTTCAGTGATTCATGAGACGTTTTACTAATACGACAAATGAACACACAGATGACATTATCTCCCTTTCACTGTAGCAGGCGATAATAAATAGAAGAAGACCTAGAAAAATGTTAGTTTTGTTTATGTAGCTCATTTTTCATGCCAGATACAACCTTAATTTTTATTTATTTTAATAACCTTTATTTAACTGGACAAATCCCCTTTTGCAAGGGAGGCCTGTTTATGAGGCATGTTTTTTTTTTGTTTGTTTGTTTTGTAATCTGTGAGAGGAAACCAGAGTAAGCAGAGAAAACCCACACAAGCATGAAAAGAATATGCAAACTCCACACAAAAAGACCCCAGGACCCCAGGGATTGAACCCGGGACCTTCTTAATGTGAGGCATCAGTGCTAACCACTGTGCTCTGTAATTTTCCAAATGTCACTTTGTTGTTTGCTTAACATTTTTTAACAGTAAAATAACAGGCATAACTTTGCATCTGTTTAAATAAATGCTCTGAAAACCTGCAGCAGTCAACAGTGACTGATGTTTACACAGTTCAGGAATGCCATCTTGTGGTATTTACAGTCTACTACACAAGTTTGATCAATCAAAATGTCAATTTGAAATATAAATCTTCTATCTATTGTTGTCTGAAAATGTAAAAGATGTATTTTTTGTAAAACTGTGCAAATTATTTTCTAAATATGTCTGGCAGAGAATGGAGGATTTCGAGCCAAGATGTATGACATTACTCAGCACCCCTTCTTCAAACGAGGCATTGCTGTTCTGGTGTTGGCTCAGTCTGTCTTGCTTTCAGTCAAGGTAAGACCGTGTGATTTTTGTTTTGTATGGTTATCACATCATATAATGCTTTTGTTTGTAGAGTACCAGCAGGTGAAATGACAAACCTTCTTGGATYTGCTCTTTTTCAGTGGGATGTAAAATATCCCAGTGTGACTTATCCGCTCGCCACCATGTCTGTAGTCTTCACTTTTATATTTGTACTGGAGGTGAGTGTGTTTTCTGCCAGTGCATCTGCCATCTACATAGGTTAGGATCACTTTCTCTGATATGAGTAAATTCTRTTTTCTAGGTAACGATGAAACTCATAGCCATGTCACCAGCAGGTTACTGGCAGAGTCGACGAAATCGTTATGACCTGCTGGTCACATCACTGGGCGTCATCTGGATAGTTTTGCATTTTTCTTTACTGGTTAGAAAAAAAACATATATATTTTAATGTTATTCTCTGAAAATAATGTCAGTAAATAACTACATGTAGGTGGGTAACTTTTTCCCATAGAATGCATATACRTACATGATGGGCACATGTGTGATAGTCTTCAGGTTCTTCACAATATGTGGAAAACACGTGAGTACATCTATGTAAATATATGTCTGCCCTTTCCTRGAAATGATTTTCATTAAAGCACCGGAATGTGATTCCTAATATTTTTATTGTCTGTTAAGGTGACGCTCAAGATGCTGCTGCTGACCGTAGTAGTGAGCATGTACAAGAGCTTCTTCATCATTGTGGGCATGTTTCTCCTCCTCCTCTGCTACGCTTTTGCTGGAGTTGTTCTCTTCGGAACCGTTAAATATGGAGAGAACATAAACAGGTAACGTTTGTGTTTCCCTGTCTTCTTTAAGTCGCTTTGATTTCTGCTGAGTAACAGGCTGTGAACTGCAAATACAGGTCCTTCTCAAAAAAAT